ATTTATTTTTAATTATAAAAAAAAGATTTATAATATATATATATATATATATATATATATATATATATATATATATATATCAATAAAATAAAGGACAATTTAATAATAAAAATAATAAACTTTAAAATATGAATGTTATTATTATCAGCAATATCTACAAATTTATTTTGATATATATTTACACTTGATATAAATTTAATTTTGCAACATGAGAGTAACAAAAAAGTAACAAAGTAAGAAATTGCTAGATTAATCAGAAGTTTTTAAATTTGAATTACAAATTTTTGAAAAATAATATATGAAATCTTCATACAAGGTGCGATTAGCAATTCTTATTAAAATAAAATAAAAGTCTGTATAAATTTTTTTATAGACATTTGATATAAATCTAAAATTTTTGTAGTTATTTATCAAAAACTTTGTACATGAAACTTATAAATTTTTATGAACAAAATTAAGTTTATTATTATAGTACTTATTATTATTAAGTATCTCTCTATGTATTGCAGCCCACTGTCTTGTACTTAAAGTTGAGTACAATATTTATTATATCAGACAATCGTAAGCGCACCTTACTTTCTCTGAATTGGTATAGAATATATTTTACACATAATCGAACTACTTTTAATTACTCATAATTAATAATTTTTTTTTTTATAAATTTATATTTTTCACTGATACATGTATTTTAATAGAGAATTTGCATAAGCCATTGGCCTTACGTTTGGATGTGGCTAAAAGAAAATTAATATACATTTTATTATTATAATATTAAATATAAATAAAATAAATTTCTTACCACAGCTTCATACATGGTAAAAGTAGGTCGCATGTTATTACCAGTAAGTGTAATAAAGGCACCTAAGTTACCTATTGTATCACTAAAATGATTTATATTCAAACATATAGAAACAAATAAATATTTGACAAAAATAGTTCAAATAATTACTTAAAGATTTACCAATAATTTGGTGCTGAGAAAACAGTTACACATTTTCCATTATGCACAAGTTCATATCCATCTTTTTTTACCTCGTGACTTCTTACGATATAATCAAGATTATTAAGTTTAAGGAAATTTTTTGTAACATCAGGTCCAAATTGGATTCCTACTCCTCGCTTACTAGGTGCTCTACCTTTCTGTGGTTGCGGATCTGACCATAATAATTCACACATAAGTCCTTCATCTGGTGGTTGTCGGTTTCTATCTATTTCTCGTATTTCTTTTAATGTTACATCGTCTCGAGAAAACAATCCTCCATGCATTACCTGTGTGCAAAAAATATATCATTAATCGAACTATAAACTTTAGATGTAAAAAGTTAAATTGTTATATCTTAAAGTATAATTTACTTAGATGAATGGAATGTTTAAATAAATAAATTAATTAACATTCATATGTCAATTATATATAGTTAATGATATAAAGTTTTTGTAAGATTCTATAAATATTAAATAAATATTAATTATATTACATAAAAATATAGACTCATTTGTAAATACAAATAAATTTTCATTATTCAGTTTAATATATATGAATAAAAAAATGAATAAAATTTAAAATATTAAAATAATTGTTATAGATAATCAGAAATAGTTTATTAATAAAAAAATTAATTATAACATCAACAAATTTCAAATAATAATTGAAATGTTAAAAAGTCTAATAACTTGTTTAAATTATAAAATTTAAGTAATTTTATTGAAATATTTCTGAATATATTAAATAATTATAATTATACTATTGTTAATTTTTATACCATAAAAATCATATAGTAGTAAATTATAATACAAGAAATACATACAAGAATTTTTTCATTGATGCAATGAGCTAGTGGCAACCAGTTGTAAACTTCTGTAAATAAGTCAGCCATTTTAGCAGAATATTTTGCTTTTACTTCACCCTCAAATCCATACATATGATTCATAGTAGCTGATTCATGGTTACCTAACCATAAATAATATAATTCAATAGAAAAATTTAAATTGGTTATAAGTATAATATTTACCTCGAGACATAAAAAAATATTTTGGATATAATAATTTAAATCCAAATAGTGTGAATATACATTCTACAGAAAAAGATCCTCTATCAACAAAATCTCCATTAAATAACTATGTAATCTTTAAGTAAAACATGAAATTATATTAAGTAACTTTTAAAAGTAACTTAATTCAAATCAAAGGATACATAAGGATTTGTATTTGAAGGTAAACCATTTAACTCAAAAATATTAAGTAAATCATAAAATTGGCCATGTATATCACCACAAATTGTAAATTTCTCATTATCTGGTACTGTAATATCAATTAAACTTGGCTGAGACATAAAAAGGACTTTTATGTCAAGTAAAATTTTAAAAGCATATTTTTGATGAAGTTTATTTTCATTTTTGTACCATTGTATCAGGTCTTGCATAAATTTTAATGTAACTTTATCATCTTCTAATTTTGGTCCTGTATATTCATCAGCAATGGCTAACAATATAATTGAAAAAAGCATTAATTACATAAAACAATTAATTTATACAATTTAAAATTTTTCTTTGTTCTACTTATTGTACACATATGCAACAAAAAATTATATAATATAAAGTGTTGACTATATAACTAATAAAAATAAATAATAAATAAATCTTAAAATGAACTTACTCATAGCTTCTAATTTAACTGAATCAGCAATAGTTTTTTTATTTTCTTCAACAGCAATAGCTTTTTCAAAAGCTAATATTTTTACAATTTTATTACATTCTGTAAATTTTAGTTTTGCATCTTTATCTTTTGGTCTAGCTTTCATGACTGTTTCATAATCTTTAAGGGCAAGTTTAAATTTTCCTAAAGGCATATTAGCTGCTGCTCGTCGATAGTATCCTTTTACATAATTTCTATCCAACTCTAATGATTTAGTAGCATCTATGAGTGCATAACCAAAACATTCTGTCTTTAAATATGCAAAACTCCTATTTCCATAATAAATAGCTATTGTTGGATTTAATTCTATAGCTTTAGTATACAATGAAATTGCTGCATCATAATTTTGATCTGTGAGAAAAATAGATCATAACATTTACTGTTCTTAAATATAAAGCAAAACAAAATTGACAATCTTAATATCAAAATTTAGAAATTACAAGTAACGTAAAATAAATATTATACAATAGTCAATAGACTAATTATTGCTCTAAACTTCGTTAATAATGAAGAAATTTAAAGAAGTATTTGATCTTAATTAAAAAAAACTTAAAAATTTAATAAAAAGTGTGGTTAAGTTTAGAATACACGTGATTGAATTGCATGTGGTACATATTCATTTTGTAAACTCAAACTTTACATCATAATTAATAATATAACGGTTCAAAGATTTTTTATTAGAGCATCTATAAAACTTACGTTTAAAGAATTTGTTCGCCTCCTCTTTATATTTTTCTGCTTGAGTAATATCTTCGGGTGATGGAACTCTTGTGTGTTCAGCATTCTCACCCATTCTTGTTTTTTAATTAAACTAAGTACAAAAATTTATTTAAATTATGTTTAACAGCAAATAGTGAATTAGGCATTAAAACAAACTTCTTTCTGACCATAAGAAAATTTTCTGTCTATATATTTTGTTCTTGGTTATAGAATAAATGGAAAGTATCTATCCGTGCAGTTTCATGTAATATTCCATGTAAAAAACCCAGAAGATACTTTAAAATGATTTTTCCATTACTTTTCTCGTATATATATGTATTATAAAAATATTTGAATAACTTTAAATTTTGTTCGAATACAAGTTTAATGCATAATTTATGTAATTTTGCAGGTATTAAAAACTAATTTTTCATATATATATATATATATATATATATAAATATTATAACATTTTTAATTATACAAAAATAAAAAAATTTTCTTTTTAATTAGATGTCCAATTTTATACGTTTTTATATTTGTTGTTAAAAACATGTTTCAATACAAATACTATTAGATTAAATTTGCTTCTTAGTAAAATATGATAAATAATCTAATACAAGTATTAGATTTATAAAAAAAATCAAGTCTAATTTTTAAAAAAATTCTATTATGATTTTTAAATGATATTATATGGTTCTTTAATTTACATATTAATAAACTACATAAATCCTAATATAATTTGCTTTACTTAAAAATAATAAGTTATTAGATTGAATCATATATAAATAACTAAGAGTAATTAAAAAATAAGTAGCTGATACTAAACTACAAATTAAATTTTCAGTTACATATGCAATCGATAAACGAAGTACTAACAATATCGAATCGAAGATAATTTTGTTACTATGAGAAAGTGAATAAGTGTGTAAAGTTACATGCCTATGTTTCTTCTTCTCTCTTACTTTAATAGGTTCATTTGGATTAGATTCGTTTTCAATTTGCGGCTTTTTCAGTTTAGCACTCAGGTTTCCTTGGTAACGTTGCAACAATATTGCAAATGCGGGAAAAACTCAAAAGATATATAAAAAATCAGGCTGTATTTTTCCTAGTTCTTTAAAATGATAGAGTACAATTTAAACTTCTCTACTTCCATGTCAAAGGTACTTTTACCAGTGGAGGTGAAATAGTTATGAGATTTATAAAAAAAATTAATATTAAATATTTTAAATATATTAAATTTCATGACTTTAATAATTGGTAAATGATTTATTTATGATTAATTAAATAATAGTAACTGGTAAGTAGTAGATTTTTTTTAATTTTAATCATTTAAAATATCTTTAATGTTCATCCCTTTGATCCTATGATAATGCAAATTATAGTTTAAAAACTTAATTAAAAAAAATTTCATATTTTAAATTTTGCCAATAAATTTTTTTAAATTGAAATATTTTGCTATTTGAAATGGTTATTCAAATTTTTTATAATACATATCAATGTATTATAGAAAATTTAGAATTCATTTTCAAATAATATTGTAATTTAGTATTTATATTCATTGTCTATTATAAATGTATTTATTTTTCAATTAATCAATTAGGTGTAAATATATAAAGTAATTATATTTATATTAACAATATTAATTGTTTAACATTATTTAACATTACTTAAAATAGTACATTATGAACTTATTATAGTTGCATATATAAATATAGATTATCTTAATCCAAAAAATATTTAAACACGAATATGAATAGCTAATTATTTATTTAGTATTTATCTAAATTTATTTAAATTCATGAACTTACCTATATAAGATTGCATAATGTTTCCATACTTAATAGTAAATTTGGATAATAGAAATGTTGATAGACATTGGTAAGTTTCTTAATACAAATTTTGTATTTACTCTAGTAGTTTTTGTAAATATAAACTTACCTTTACGTTAATTGACTTGATCTATTCTAGTATTTAAAAAACAAAAACAAATAGATTAATTTTTTAATAAGGTATATTTTTAAATTATTGAAATTATTTTAAATTGAAATTTGAGATTAATATGTCCAACTATTATTATAGCAATATCTTAAAAAACAATTAAATTCTCACTATATAATTTTTTTAGTTTCGTTTTTAACTTTTTTATTTTATCTTTCAATGTTTACAGTTTTTAGATACTTTTAAAAATTTGTATTTATATTTTTCTCTTTTTATAATTTCTAAAATAAAATTTTAATTTTTTAAATAAATTTAAAATTCAATATATCATTTTATTAATGATTAAAATTTTAAAAATTTTTTAAACACTGATTTTTTTTTAATATAAGCACTCATTATCGTGATTCGTTTTAATTAATGTTATTGATTTGTAGTAACTGTAAGAAAAATTTCAAAACGATGTTTTTTAATATGAATTAATTTTAGATGGATACATACATTAAGAAAAAATGTATTAAATATAAATTTATCTATATCAGAACTAATAAATTGAAGCCTTTTACTTTCTTTAATCTATTTTAATATTTTAGATTGAACATTAATATAATATGATGTTTGGGTTATTTTACTCCAAATCTTTCTCACTTTTTGTATACTTTTTTATGCTTCACTATTTGTTCTTCTTTAAACAATGTTTTGCTTTTATTTTATATAGTATTTCTTAATTTTATAATTTTATATATTAATAAAATAACTTATTACTTATTATAGATACTCAAATTTCAATCGTAGATTAGATAAATTTTTGACATGAAATTGAGTTTGATTTCTGAAAGTTGTAGCAAATTGCTTATTAATAGAAAACTGTATTTATCAATATAATAAGTAATAAAAATAATAAAAAAACTAAGTAACTTAGCATAAACTTTAACACAAGCTTGTTTGTAAGGGAAAAATTATTTACCAAGCATAGAGCTTCTTTAACAGATTGAACAAAATTATTAAGTTAAACCAAGCTTATAATAAGAAGTTCTAGCTATAATATATTAATTATATTTTCTGATAGTATGGTATGCAATTGTGGAATATAATAAAATATAAAAAATTAATGTTTTAGATGCATATTTTTATCAAATCAATAGTTTATAGAATAATTTCCGTAGATATTCAAGATGAGCGTACCAATATAGACTCTGAAAGAAAATAACTTATAAAAAAAAAAGCAAATCACACCCTAACAAGAAATTAATATTTAAACATAAAGCGAATGCCAAGCAGATAAATGCTTTAGAACTGTTCTTATAAGTATAGATAAATAAGATTAAAACTAAACTGATTATTACTGATTAAGTTAATAAAATTATGTTTAAACAGCGTTTTCATCCTTCAATCTCTGAATTAATATTAGATAAGTAAAAGAGATTTGAATACTTGATTGTTATACTTAAGATATCGAAGTATCCTACACTTTAGACTAGAATCGGAAAGTAAATTTGATCATTTGGTATGAATAGCCAAGTGGATATATATATATATATACCTACATGTTTCTTAAGTAATTTACTGCATTTATGTTTATCTACAAACTGTATTGAAAAGTTTTATCCAATAATGGAATTTGTAATTTTCTTTGCACAATGTTTTTCTTTTAATATTCTTATGCAACATGTGTTAAGTATAATTCTTGCAATTAGCATATGTATAACAGTTTTTTTGACTATTATATCTGAGCTATTTGATGATTTAACAAAGAATGCTTGGTGATACTTTTTTATTCAGGTTTTTAACCATTATTGCGATACTTCTTCGTTAATCTACTTTTTCAATATAATATGTGAATGTTATTAAATTAAAATGCATAATCATAAAATAAATAAGCTTTACTGGCTTACATTATAATATTTAAGTCTCTGTTAATTTTTTGGCTTGAATAATTGAAAATCATTCCAAGGATAGTCATAGGAGAAATAAGGTTTATTAAAATTTATTTTGATTTGTTTCAAATAAAAAAAGTTTATATAAATTAAAATTTTTTATACCTAAGTCTATGTGATATTTAATACCTTATAAAATCAATAGGAAATAAAATATTAATTATAAATGAAACAAATGAAATTAAAATTATAAGAGTGGTTGCAACAGTATTTATTTATACATTAATTCTTAGTCTGAGTTTTCGCTATTATAAACGTATTATTCGCTATTTCTACCCCGTTATTTTAATCTAAAGTAATAATGTATTCATAATTACAATTCAAAAGTACTTATGTATTCATGTATGATAATTCATCGATTATGTATTCATATGCATCTCATGTATAAATATGCAGTTTCCGATTCATTCAAATTTGAAATGTGAAAATATATATTGAAAAAAAGCATTTACGGTGAAGGAAGAGTATTTACAGATGTTCGCACGAAAGCAAGATTACATTCAAAAATATGCCCATAAAAAGAAAACGATAAATATGTCACTTGATGTACTTTTAGAATTTATGATACATATATAAGAATAGTATCTCAAAATAGGAGTTCCTTTGGAAGTATTACATATATTTACAATTACAATAATTACAAATAATAATATTTGTAATAAATACAAATAATACAAATAATTACACGTATCCGTTTTACACACTCACATATATATCCCTTATGAAAAAATATTTTTACATATATTTGTATCACGGGCACCGACACAATGCATATATTTAAAACATTATTGCATTTTTCTAATCTGTTAGTTACAATATTATATTCATTTATATTCTTACATAGTCGTAAGGAAGGCTCAATTTTGTTAGGTGACTGTATTTTTATTAATTTATAACATGTTAGAAAATGATGTATATTATATATATAATTAAACTACAGTTTATTAAAAATATAAATATATTACATAGCTGTCTCGTTAAATTTAATAACAATTCAGTAAAAATTAAATATAAAATTGATAAAATGTAGATTATTAATATTTATTTTAGTTTATTAAAACTAAATAAATCTAATACATACAATTAACAAAGAAATGAAATATATAAGTTAATTTTATTCCCGAATTTATGGAAAAACTTTTACATATTTACAACAATAGCCTTGCAGTTAAAGCAATATAATTTATTGATATTAACTATTTTTTGCCGTTGCTGATTTAAAATTAATAGCTGCAGAATTTATACAAAATCTTTTTTTTTTTTGTTTTCGTTCTTCATTAAATACATGGCCAAGATGAGCATTACAATTTGAACAACTTACTTCTGTCCGAATCATGTTTGGATTTGTCATCAATACAAGTAAGTTACCACCAACTATGCGTCGCGATAACACGACGCAAAATTTGTATTAGTGCAATCATCGGTGTGAATCCAAAACAAAAAAGTATATAATTATTTTAATACTTATTCATACATTTATAGTAAGTTATATTAAAATTTTATGCTTAAATTTTAATTCTAAAATCTATTTTAAATTCAAACATATATAATAAATATAAAAATTTTGCGGTGAATTATTTTTCATCAATAAAAGATAATTATGTAAACAAATCAGATATAGGCAATTAAAGGTTTTATTATAATAAATTATAAATATTATACAGTTCTATTTATATGTTTATATACAACTCTCATATTATGGAATATACTACTTAGCATATTTTATATTAATGCTGAATGCGTTTAAACATAGTATATGATATTAAATGATTACATTGAAGCTTTTTACATTCTTTAGATTCTAAATTTACAATTTTAGTTTTAAAATTTATATTAACTATAACATTTATAAATAACATATATCTTCAATTGTTAAGGTATCGACTTTTCAAATCCTTATAATTAAAATATATACCAATTTCTCATTTTTATTTACCTGTATCTCTTACTCTATTTTGGATTAATTAACTATAAACAAAAATTCAATGTTAGGATGAAATAATTATGATTTTTATACAATAATTTACATATAATTATGAAAGTCATTATTTTTATTCGTATTAAATATTTTAAAACTATATTGTTACCATTTCAAATATTATAGGATTATTTATTCAAACAGTGAGATTCTTTATAAATTTTTACGATGCTTCGTGATACACTATTTAAATTAGTTATTTTGAAGTTTTGTAGTAACAATAAGAAATTATGTATATTTTACTTTAGAATTTTATTTTACTAATCTTTTTAAATAAAGTTCTATTTTTTAGTGTTTTTTTTATCTTACCTAGTATATTTTTTTAAGTATAACGTGTTATAATAGTTAAGATTATATTTTCATGCAATATTGTTTTTTTCATAAATGTAATTATGAGTACTTTTTATTAATTATAGTAATTATAGTAATATTTTGTATTCCGTAAATGAGTTGAAACTATGTGTACTATAATTTAATTATATTGTCACATCTTAATTTTTTAATATAAATTTTCTTTTTATATGAAAATTTTTCACCTGTGATATTTGTTTATAATTGTCCAAATTGAATAATATAAATAAGAAGCACAAAACTCTAGTAGCGCAATCACATTATAGAAAAAAATTCAGAGGATACTTAGTGTATTATCGATAAGACTAAATTATATATAAAGATTTTATTTATTACTTTTATACTTCTACATTTTATGTTTGTCATTGGAAGGCAAATACTTGAGTTTATGTGAGTTTTGTTTTTTCCTGAGATAACGAGAAACGTGGTGATGCATATAAGCAATGTGAATTACTCTTATCTATAATAAATTTTTATTATATTACAAATTCATTCGCATTTCGTTATGATTTTTGTTCCTGAAATAGTCAGTATTTGTCAGGATTATAACACATTTATACTTAAATTTTTTTTAATTTAAATTAGATAAAAAAAGTATAAAATCATAATGTAGTCTTTATTAATTTTTATTAATTACATTGAAACAAATTAAAACCTTTGAATTCTTTATGTTAAAATTTTTTAAAAATTACAAATTAATAAATATATTAATTTCTAATATCAACTGATGCTGTATACAAATTTGAATTTTAATAAATGAATGTTTATTAATTTCGCTAAGTAATTTAAATGTTGTTAATTACTATTAAAAATAAACTAATATCACCGCAATATGAATATAGTAATAATTTTTCTGCATTGCATTTATTAAAATTATTCATCTATTCTTTTGTATGTATTTAATAATAAACTAAATAGATACTTTAAAAATTCAATAACAAGTAAGATATATCAGATATATAATTTGCATAGTTTTAATCATTTTCTCTTATTCCTGTAATGATTACAGTTTAATTCTTCTTATTTTTATTATTTTTATTGTAGTATTACAAGTAAAGTATTAAATGTTTCAATATTTTTTAGTTTATTTGATTCACTTCATATATTGAATTAATTTTAAACAAATACTAAATACTAAATTATATCTCTTGCTATGTTCGATTTTGTAACAATTTAAAATATGTTCTAATTTATAAGATTTTTAGCTCTTTTATATTTAATCTGTAATATTTTTTGTCTATACATTTTTAGTTACATAAAATATTTATTTCTTTTAAATTTATTAAAATCTTTTTATGAATTATTTAAAATGAATTCTAATGATTTGAAAAGTCACTTTAGAGAAAGAAAAACTGTTATTAAGTATAATATTAAATACATAAATGAGTGCATGTAATAATTTAAAATCATAATAAAATATAAATATGTTTATATAATATTTTCTGTACAGTATTAAGCAATATGTAGTAGTAATTGCAGTAGTTTTTAACATTTGAGAATTTGAACAAGATAATCGATAATTCTAGCTATGTTGCGTAAAGATTGTTTTATAAAACATTGATTATTTAATAAATCAAATTATTCGTAGTATATTTGAAGTCTTAAAAGTAGATTTTATTATTGTATAAAATTTTCTAAAAATAGGATTTAGATTATAAAGGATATATTTTTATTTTTGATTTGATCTAGTATATTCTACATACAAAATTTTACATGAACTTTGTAAGTGTATTAATTACAAATCATATTATTTTCATTAATGTAAGATTAACTAATTATGTATATATTTTGATATACATAACAAACAAGTTATTAAAAAAATATCCATTATTAATATATAAAACAAATATATAAATAATGTGATTTTAATTTAACAGAATTTGAGAATTTATGAATTTGAATTATTGCCTTATGTACGCATTCTTTTGTATTTTTGAATTTATTAATTAGACTTATTTCTTCTATTTTTATAATAGGAAAAAAAATTATACATAGATGAAATACATAAACCTCTATATATAAAAATAAAAAATACTTAATCTTAACATCTTTTTTGACATATTTAATGTGAGAAAAATCATTTAGTGTATTTAATGTGAAATTTACAGATTCTCTTATTAAATTATCTATTAAAACTCTTAGTTAATCTAACACTATTAAAAATATACTACATTAATTGCATTAGTAATAATAAATAATAAATAGATGAGTTTTAACTTTACACAATTACATATTTTGTAAATATGCATTAAAAATTTCCCCTTATTAAATTTTTTTACACTACCTAATACCAACTATTCCTTTTAATCTAAATTTTATATAATTTTATATGCAATGAAAAATCCATAGAATCGATAATAACAATCAAATATCTATAATTTTCAAAAGCAAGTTACATAAAATTTTGGCCATTTAATTTATCAGTTTCACTAGATAATGTTATTTTTTATAGTAATTATTTTTATTAATTAAGCAATTTCAAGTAGTTTCTAAATTTATAAAAATAGTTGAAACATCATTACTTATTTAAGTATAATAGGCAATCTGGCAATTAGCAATACGAAAGCAAATGTAATTAAAAATAATTGAACACATTCAGCTATTATGACAATGTAAAAATAGTTATAAAAAAATATCTATGCTATATTAAATAACCAATATTGGTAAATATAATCATTTTAAAAATATATTATCACATTTCTTTTCATTTTGAATTATTTTTTAAACTTATTAATTAATAACTAATATGGAAAATTAATGATTTTCTTATAAAACATGATTGTTTTCTTTAATAATTTTTATAGTAATACATGATCAAAGAATATAAATCTTTAAAAATTAATTTAAAACTTTAAAATTGTTATCCTTATATTGAATATCTTATAATATAACTAAAATAATTTCTATTTAGATATAACTGATATTAAAACAATCAAAGATAAAATTTGAAAATTGTTTCCTTTCTACTTATTTTTTAATGGAAATCAATAGAAGATAATGGAAATGAAAATAAAATATTTATTAATGGGACTAAACAATTTTAGTAAATTTAAAACCTTATTAATTAAATTATAAATAATGGAATTTGATTTAAACATTAAATTGATTTTGAAATACCAACATATAAAATTATTACAATATAGAAATAACAATGATCAGTAACATTAATTATGTTTTTACAATCAAATAATTAATAATTAAATATATCATGAATAGTTACACAAAATTACATATAACTCAAAAGTTATTTAAATTATTATTTTTAAGTACCTTTAATACTTTCTATAATAATTTAGTACAAAATATTAATTTTATTTAAAAATAGAATTTTTTTTCAGTAATATTTAAAATTTATATAAATAAAAACTGTATATCCAAAATTAATTATATATAATTAAGCCTTATAGTTTAATAATACTACTACTAAATTAATATACAATATATAAACTTATTAAAGTTAAAAGTAATAAAAAAAAAAAATATTATCCAATAGTTAAATAATTAGATTAAGGTAATATTTTATATTTTGTCCTTTATACCAATATAATGATATTTAAAGGATCATTAAATTAAGAAATAACTAATTATATATACTTATTGGTTAATATTTGTTTAGGTACCTACCTAGATTTGTATCTTTTATTAATTTTATTCGACCTTGATCTAAAACTTCATTGAAAGCTGGCCATCCACATCCACTATCATATTTTGTTTCAGAAGAAAACAATTCTTGCTCACACACAATACAAGTATAAATTCCACTTTCATAAAACTTGTTATAGCAACCACTGAAAGGCCTTGAACAATTTAAATAAATTATAGTTATTTTTAGAAACAAAATGAAATTCTTAATAAAAACATATATAGAGATGTTATTTTATTTATGTAGTTGGCCATGATACAAAAATAAATTCTTCAAATAATTCATTAATAATGATATAAGCTAAAATTATAATAATGAAGTATAAAGTAAAATTAATATTTTATATTTATTTAATAAATATATTTATATTCACTTAAATGTATTTTTATTTAAATATTAAAATTTAATTATTTAAATATTAAAATTTAATTATTTAAATATTAAAAAACTGTTAATATTTAGAAATTCTCATTAAATATGTAATATTTCATACACGTAGAAACAATTATTACTTTCGATGCTCACTTGGAAATTTTATAAGCATGTTAAATATTTTATTGTTACAAATATCAAATATAAAGAAATTTTAATATTTAAAAAATATCTCAATACGATTAATTTCTTAAAATACCATGATAATAATTCTTTATTTACAGTTAACAAATCAAATTAAAATCACCATTATAACTACGTATAAATTTTGTTTCTTAAAGTGAAATATAATGCAAATACCTTTCAGTGCCCTTTTCTTGTGTAACATACCATTGAATTGGAGTTAATCGACTTTTTAAAGATGTTTTACAAAATTCTATAGACATATTTCTATTAAAACAATCAAATCTTATGAAAATTTACTTTACTGAAGTTATTCTAAAAAACTCTTGTCATAATGATAGGCGAAAATAAGAGTATTATTTAGGCATGCGCAAAGCAAAACTAATATTATTGGTCAAAAAATTCTGAACAATATGAATATTGAATTATTGATTCAAAGCGAATTAAATTCAAGTATGATTTATACAATAAAATAAAAATAAAATATTTATAATTATAAATAAAAAAACTTTACTTAAATGAAAATATAATTTTATTCTAATTTAAATAATGAAATATATAAAAATGTACAAAAAATTGAAAAATCATTTTCAATTCTGGGTTTAAATATAAATTTCAATTCATCAGTTATTCAAATATGAATATTATAAAAACACAAAAACATAAAAACATATATAAATAGTTTTAAACAATATGAATTATATATATAATATAGTGTTCAGAAAATAATTCCACAATCTGACTCGTCAGCCAAACGTGCAATAATCAACTTAGAACAAAAAACCCACAAGATGTTGTGTGGGGTTGCTGGGCAAGTAAAGCGTTAATGCATCGATTTAATAATTAACACATATCTTTATTATTGCTGTTTATTTCATTTATTTTACTTTATTTCCAAATGGGAATCATTAACTATGGTGAAATTACAAATAAACTTTTATATTTCTTGATAATCTTGTGGTGTTGATATATATCTGTTTATTGGAGAACTAGAGGATAATCAATTTCTTATTTGTTGTATATAACTAGTGATATTATGATTTACTATAAAAAGTAGTAGGTTATAATCTATTGAATATTATCACATTGAGGTTATGGTTATTGTAGTGCTCTGATCGAACACTGCAATATTATTGTGTTTTAACTCAACACGTGTGCAGTTGGCTCTAAATATGGGTTGTATAAGAGCCTAAATAGAGGTTATGTGAAGCTGTGCGCCACCTGTGGCGGGAACAACTTATCGTTGGAGGGATTGAAAAGCCACTGTGGCGTCTGTAGCTGGTCTTGTCCTAGAATATGTCTGGGAAGCTTCGGTAATTGAACCTTAATCCGTCCGTTTTCTACTTAAGCCGAAAAATCAAGAATCAGTACTAGCTGTAAGGACTTACTTCCAGTGTATCGTGATTTTTCCAGTCTCTCTTTGTTGACTTGTTGTGAAGTTCCCTTACTATATTGTAACTCTTAAGTTCTTCCTTATCTCCAAGTGAGATTACAAGTGGTCAGGTCCTATGCAATCTAGTCTTGGTGAGATCAATTTCAACTGTATACTAATTCACAATTGTAGAAAGAACTTCTTATTAAAACTCAGCTAAACGACTTGTCTCTCCGGTTCTCCTCGTGAGAGTAAGTCGTGACTTATCGTTTAATTGTACGTGAAGTGTTAGAAAAGAATCAGTTGGTAGTACATTACATTGTGCTTCTTAAATAGTTCACTGACCCAGTTCCACATGGGACCCCTTCTTCTTTCAATTGTTCAATCAGAGGTGACCTTGGGCAGCATGATGGATTATGCACGCCTTCATTTCCACTTCCTTCCGGACTCAGTCCCGAATTTGCTAATCGGGAAAGTGTCGGAAGTGGGGAGCCCTTACTATTGGTCACCTTTGCTTGGTCGCCTCTCCCTTTCTTGGAACTTGGCTAGATGAAGGGTCCTCTTGGGCGTGGTCGTTTTCCGATGCGATCGACTAGATGCGGCACACTTGGAAACAATGCAAGCATTGTCCCAAAAGGTCGAGTCCGCACGCACGCCTGTTGCTTGTTGTCGCACGTGCAGAGTTTTGTACAGTGAATTTTCAGGAAATGTTTTTACTCGATAGTTTACGTATATTCGACACTCAGTCAGAGTCTACGTCTTCTTGGCAGTAAACACATAAGTTTTACCGTACCGGGAAAATATGAGCACGCTCGAAAATAGGCAAGAGTAAATAAGCAAAATATTCACTGGAAATTTTCCAGATGTTTTATGACACTTTAAATTTTTAACGATGAATGAATAAAACGGAATATTACATAAAATCCAATGTAAAAAGTGAAGCCAGCAATTTTTAATTATCTTAAAGAACAAAGCCCACGCGAGTTACTGCGTCTACTTGCGTCTACTTGCGTCTTATAAGATCAAACACAATAAATAATTAATTAAAATTAATTAAATAATCAATTAAATGAAATTATTAAATCATTTATCTTCCAATCCTATTTTTTTTTTTTTTATACTATGGGGTAAGCTTATTTTATGTCGTTAATTAAATTTAATATTATACGCAAGTAAGATTACAATACATTTGTATCTATTGCGTAACAAGAGTATTTATTCCCCTAATTAAATGCATTTATTGCGTATTCAATTACGCAGTTTCACGCGTCAATCGTCATAAGAAGTTTATTAAATGTGAATCATTGGTGAAAGGATATTATTGGACAGTTCACATGATATACTATAAAGCTTATTGCAAAATAACATTATGCGAATGTTGCATAAATATTCAATATGTAATTGACGAAATTGCACCGACACTTCTCTGATTAGCATATTCGGAAATGAGCTCGGAGGAAAGTGGAGACGAAGGCGTGCATAATCTATTGTGCTGCCTAAGAACGACCTCCGATTGGTTAATTAAAAGAAGAAGGGGTCCCTAGTGGAGTGGGACCAGTGAAGCATTTAAGATAGAAAAATGTAGTGTACCAAGACTTACTCTTTCCAAATACTTCTCACAGTTGAAGGATAAGTCACGACCTACTC